GTTACCGGGCCTTTCGAGAAACGGGTCCCAGGACTTATACATCTTCGTATGGGGTTTAGGACTCTGTTATACCACATCTACCACATTTACACATTCAAGTTAAACTTTATTACAGAGTTAAAACGTTAATAAAAAACGGGGGGGGTGGGCGCTTATACCCAAGGGGACCTATAACGGCTTAGAAGTGGCAGTTTAAGGTCTTGCTTACCTTCACAGCTTCCTGGATGGTAGATACGGGGGTCGCTCTCAAGTCCTTTGCAGTAGCCGAGCTTCTGCCAGCATTGATTTTCGTATGTCGTACCGCTCGCACTGCACACTGGATCTTGATACGATGGACATTGATCATTACATTCACAGCGACCGGCATACCCATTATATACTTTGCAGACTCCAAATCGTGGGCATTGCACGTTAAGACAAGGATCTACGTCCATGTTGAAAAAAAAAAGGGTGGATATTTTAGTAGAGTTGAGTTTAAAGGAATTTCAATTCAACCATCGAGCGGGGAGCTTTCTCCAAGGGCCTAAGTCAGAAACGTACCTCCAACAACAGCATAGGCTACAATAAGTGGGTCATGGATAGGACCTGATCCACTGAGGTCTTTAACACATATCCTCACAGATTGCAAGCCAACGTTCTGCAAAGAGAGACAAGTTCAAGCAACTTATTATAATACAAAAGAAGTGCGATTTCACTTTAGCAGATTTTAATTGTGGTGATGAGAATCGTTTTAATGCTAATGGCGAGAACAGCAGAAAAGGAAGTAAGAAACGAAAAGAAACGTTTCTTTTCCGTTATTATATGTTATGTTATTTTTTTGCACTTGCTGTAAAAAAAAATATAATAATAATAAAAAGCTGGCGACATGTTAAAAATAAGGAAAAAGAGAACGGCAGGAAATGAACACTCCAAAGTGTAACCGTGGTTTAAAATTTAAAAGTTTTCCTATTTGGGAATGTCTAATGACGTGAGTATAGAGAACGAAACACAAACCTACCTCCACCCAGGTCGAGATTATGTTATTTTCGGGGAGAAACCGGCCCTTCGCCTGGCGACCGTATCGGTGATTGACAGAAACAAGGACAACTGGCGACTCGTGGAATGTTTTATTGAAAGAAACGTCCTGTAAGAAAGAAGGAATTCAACACGATTAAGAATCGTAGCCTGCGTAGCAAACGTAATTTAAACTCAGTGTTAGTAACGTCTACGAAGCGTGCCGATATCCTTGTTCTGCGGA